CCCACATGCTATCCGGATCGATGCGCAACTCCTTCTTTCCTCCACGAGGGGTCTTGATGAGTCGCCTGACCCAGGCATTTCAACACTGGGCCAGGACCAACAACCTACCCGCGCTCGACCCATCAACCCTCACTACTATTGTCGAATTCCATTTCGACCTCCACCTTTCACACACATCACAGTACTTTCTTCACGCCCACGTCCAACGGGCTCTGCATACCCTGGAACCCCTTGTCCGCCATTGCGAAGACCATGCGGACTCCCGACTCATGATCTATTGTCCCGTTCTCTACGGCAAGATGTTGGAAGCCACTTTTGCGGACCCTGCCATCTTCGCCCCTCTGCCGGTCCCTGCCATTGAGATCCACCAACGACTACGAGAAACCATTGTCACCAGATTCCGCGGCCGCTATCCTTGGGCCGTGACCGGATTCGGAAGGCCAGCCAACGCCTACATCCTCCCGAAGAGGAAGAAGAACTGGACCACTGCCCGACCCATCATCAGTTTCATTGGCGCCTTCTTCCGACCCATGCTCGACGCTCTCGCCAAGCTCCTCCACAGCATGGTGGCCACGGCTTGCCCTGACGCGTTTTCAGGTGGCGACCTCTTTGAACTCATGCGGTCCTTGCACGAGTTTCTAAGCCTCGGCCACACCCATTTGGATTACCGAAACCAGGACCTTTCCGGTTTTTTCACCTCCATCGACAAAGACCGCTTCTTAGCAGCCTGGCGACTACTGCTAACCTGGTACCGACAACGACAACCACACTCCTCTACCACACACCTCACAGTGGACACACTTGACACCTCTGCCATCACCCGCGTCTACAACGGACGCCGTCGCCGACACAAACCCACACAACGCACCCTGTGGCTCGACGACATCCCCGAGATCATTCAGGCCACCCTTGACATGCAGATCTTCTCTGTCGGCCTTCGTTCATTCAGGCAAACGCGTGGGGCACCGATGGGATCCCCCGCGTCCCCAGCTCTCTGTTTGATGGTGATCGCGGTCGCCGAACAATGTTGGACCAACACTCACACCACATCGGGACTTCGCTCCGTTGAAGATACTCTCCTGCTCCGCTACGTGGACAACAGACTCGTGATCGCAACCCCCAGGTGGCTCTCGACTCCGGCAGCCAACATACTGTGCGACGAACACTTCTATGGAGGAGACATCTTCCTGGAAACAGAAGCCGCCCTGGACTTCTTGGGGTTCCGACTGAACCTCACAAGCAGCACCATCTCCTTCATTCCCTCGCATGAGAAGCACAACATGCTCTCCGTCAAGTCAGCCGCACCAATGATCCATAAGGAATCTGGATATTATTCCAGACGCACGCTGATCAGCCGAGTTTCCTTTCCTGAATTTCAGCGAGATCAGGATCTTGCAATGTTGAAGAGGTTGTACCTCCAACACGGTTTCACCTTACAAAGAGAAGAAAAACCGTCCTTTGCGAAACCACACTGGTTTTCTTCTCTGCCTTTGCACCCTGACAGATTTGACCTGATTTTCGTGCCGCAGCTGTTTGACTGTTTGACCAAAATCCGTTACGAGCATGGATACCAACACAGCACGCCAGCTGCTCCAAGACTTCGAACTCATCCTTGGCATTGCCCAACAAGGCATCGCCACCATCCGCGAGTTCACTGAGAGTCCGACTGCCGAACCTGATTTGGCACCGGAGGCCACGCTCAACCCCGCCATTGAGGACCTCTTTGAGCCACCTCCTGATGCTCCAGATGAACACCTTCCCACTGATCATGACGAACAATTCCCTGATCATTGGGCTCCGCCCACCCCTCCTTCGTCTTCTCCCGGCGAAAAAGGAGCTCGCCGCGCACGTGATTTGGTCTCCTCACGATCTACGGCATCCAAAACCTGCTCGTGGACCAAGCGAAGCTACCACATCGACCAGGACTGATGCCTCTACTGAGGCCGAACCTGAAGCCTCGCAGCCTTGGACTGAGGGAGAGATTGAACTCCTCCGTTCCCTTAAGACCAATTCCAAAGCCAAGTATGTGTGGTCAGTCATCGCCACAAGACTTTCTCGCACAATTGATGCTTGCAAGACTCAATGGGCCTTGCACAAGTGATGTCGCCCCAGTTGGGGCTCCGTGTGTGTGAAGCGTCCTGGAGCACGGACGGAAATTCCACATTGCAGGGGGACTGGAGCCGATTTGCCTATCCAGTCCAATGAAGCTACGGCACTTCGGTGGATACCGGATCTGATCAATCCGGCGTACCTGCCTATTTCCTGACCCTCTTTCCTGATTCTTTTTGCGGTTTCTGTTTGTCGCTGTTGCTTCCTGTTCGGTGTCGATGTTGTGACCTGTTGATTTGCATTTGCATTCAAGCATTTTTACTGACTGCGTTTTGCATCTCGGCTAGTGAAGCCTCTCGAGATAAGTGTGTGTCTGTCTGTGTGTTGTCTGTGTGTCTGTCTGTGTGTCTGTCTGTGTGTATGTGTGTATGTGTGCACGTGTGTGTGTGTGTCTGTCTGTGTGTTGTCTGTGTGTGTGTGTGTGTCGGTGTGTCTGTGTGTCTGTGTGTCTGCTTGTTTGTTTGTTTGTTTGCTTGCTTACTTGCTTGCTTGCTTGTGCTTGCTTTTTGAGGGAAACTAAAAGGGAACCACCCGGCTAGAAGAGACCCCTCACCCTCCTGTCCACGTGGAATTACGATTCCTCACGTTCCATGGCAACGCGGACAGGGTAGCGTGGTCCTCATTTCAGAGCACATAAAATCGAGGATGTCCATACTATCAAGGGTTCAATATATTATTATTGGTTCGTACAATCGGCCTTTTAGGACGCATGTTGCCTGTTTGAGTCGCATCCCATTCGGGGTTTCATAACAGGTTTCTGGGCTGTCCTCAGATCCCAGACCCACTCGACTCTAAAAAGCTCACCCAAGAAACCGGATGGCTGGGAACCAAGGGTTCATACCAGGAGTTCATGTGTCTCTCTTCGAGGGCACACCATTTTAGGTCTAGGGAACTCAACGCCATTTTGGGGGGTCCCCTAACGAAAGCAGACACCCGGCGGCGTATCCATTCAGCTCTGCGTGTGTGTTCGTGTGCGCTGGTTTGCAAACACACCCCCCTCCCACCCAGTGGCAAGCCTTGATCGGAGAACCCTAGGTCTTGAAAAATCTGGAAAAATCAGGGAAACCAACAAACCATCCTTTCTTCTGGGGCTCCCCCCCCCCCAAAAAGGCAACATTAATATATAATATAATATATATATATATATATAAATGTATATTCTGCGGCGCACTTCCCTCCTTACCTCCCCACCCGCAGAACACCCTCCATCCCCGGCTCCCCGCGCTCTCCGAGGCGCCATCACGAAGATCTGCGCCCGCACGTCCCAGAGCAGCTCCGAGGCCTGGCGCTCCTTCACCGACTGCTCGCTCCTGAAGGGCATGACGTGCCGTAGCCAGTCGAGCCTCGAGAAAAAAGGAACAAGAAAAAAAGAAGAAACGAAAGCCCCAGCCGGATCGCCCGGAAATCGCCCAGATGATCCCCCAAAAAACCGGAAAAGCCACGAGTGGGGCGAGCTAGGTGTGTCAATTTGCTTAGTTGGGACCCTCTAAAATACAGGCGGTGGCGTGCTTTTTTGTTTTCTGAGTTGGTCGCTGTTGCTTTCCCTACAAACCAACCCCAAAAAGGGGTACCCTCACCAAAAACAGACCCATCTGAGAAACCTGCAGCTGGGAATTCCACAGCAAAATCATTGCTTTTGTTGGTTGCTTTGCCAATGTCCTCTAAATCCTGTATCTAGATAACGTGCTGGATGCGACGAATCTGTGGATTTACCCCTGTGGAACATTAACAGAGTACTCAAAGCTTGCTGCAAAAGGCGCAACAGGGGGAAACACGGGGGAATCCACAAGAAGCGCATCCAAACAGTTTTTTCTAGATTGAAGCCCATCTTTTCTACACATAGTCCAAGTAACCTCCCAAAACAGTATGGAGATACTGTGGATGGGCGAAATCCTGCACCACCTAAGAAACCCTGGCATGGTGATTCCCTATAAATACCAACAAACAATGGTTTCCCATGGCTCCAAAGTGGTGCAGGATTTCGTCCATTTATAGTATGGGCCCGTTTTTTCTACAAATCATAGTTCAAACCAAAACATAATTGCATGTATATGTGAAACAAACACACCTTATTCCAACTTTACAACCCTTGGTATGGTAGCAACAACTTTGTTTTTCGCAGCCCCCGGCCGGAAAAGAACAGAACCAAAACCCCAACAATTTGGATATATTAGCCATCTACCCGTCAGCAGAAAGGTAAATAGGTCCATGTTGTCCGATTCTTCACTAGAAATTTGCTTCGGAGACTTCAGATGTGGTTCGTTGATCTATTGCTAAAGTTATACTGTCGGTGGGATGTGTCGCAAATCCATCTCAAGTCTAAAGCCAAAGAGTCTAAGGAGAGATATGGCTGAGGACTGCCAAGAAGCGTCGGGTTGTGAAAGCCATTGACTCGGAAATGAAAATGCAGGAATGCGATGCCCAGAAGGGCAGTGAGCGGATCGATCATCATCTGAGGCTGGAAATGTTGACCCTTACCTCGTGGTGCGGTCTCGAGCCGAAAGAGCCCACGCTTTTCCTCACACCCTTTGGCCATCCACAAAACATGCGACCCCCGGCCCCCCCCCCCCCGGCCTTTGGGAGAGAAACACTTGCATCGTTGCCCAAGGAAAGCGACTGGCGACTGCTCAGCTGGCATTTGGCACTTGGCTCACTCTGCTGTCAGCAGCCCAGCTGACTGCAATGGTGCTGGTGGTAGTCATCGACTACCATTCCACGCGCGTGAAACTGCTTCACACTCCAAGTTTCACCTGGGGCCTCCAGTAGCGAGGATAGAATAAGGGCACCCTTTTTTCTGTAGTCCATTTTCCTAGGGGAACCCTCCCCCGAAAAAAGGGTGAGAAAAGGGGTTTACTGGGAAACCTGGTCACAGATTCACCCCAAACCCCGGCCTGGCGCAGCCCTGCGAAGCTGCACGTTCTCACCTGAGGTCCACGAAAGGATCATCCCAACCGAAACACAAGAGGCTTAGGCCTTAATCATCACACACACCCACACGCGACATGACTCTCCCTAAGCATGAGGAAATTTGGTGTGCCCCGCACTAGCATTTCGGTCCAGGGTTTCTTCAGGGATACATCTAAAAACCACCTAACGATGTTTCCTCCTATCCAAGGCTCCAAAATTAAGTTGGCAACACAACACTGTTTGGGTTTGGACCCTTCATTCATCTTGGACCCTTAGGAAAAATCGTTGCCTGCTTTACAAGGGATACATGGCCATGGCTCAAGATCCCGTATTTCCAGTGAACATCTAAAACCCCCCAACTTTACCAGGAACTGGATGGCCAGCTGTGAACCACTGGCCCCTGGCCGCCTAGACCCCCCGGCGCAGCAGCTCGTCCACACGGCTCTGCAGAGAGGCGATCCTCTCCTGAACGAAGGCACCCGAGCCTCGAAAAAGATGTCCATTTCTTGAGGCTACCCTTCTCACCTGGGTATAAAATTCGGCCAAACGGAAAACCACAATAAGTATACTATCTCTTTTGTTAATCTTTATTTTTTTGTGTAGCATTATGCTTATTGTTACTATTGTTATTATCATTGTTTTTGGGTGGTCCCCCTATCTTGACACATACCCAAGTTGCATTTAGATCATGCTCTAGCCGGCGGCTTTCCTTTTAGTGTCCCTTTAAAACAACCCCAACTAGGGTACCGAGCCTCAAACAGAGACCATATGGCAGTGGCGCAAAAATAGGGTAACCCCAAGATGGAACCCTGGTGAACGGAACAATGGACTAGAACCTGCGGTCCATATCCTGGTGGTTTAATTTTGACCCACACCCAGATGGTGGGCTTCATGTTCGTCGGGATGGATGGGAAGAAGTGGAATAGAGCGTACTAGGTTCTAGCCGCACCCTTCCCATTCAGCGATCCAAGAATGGAGAAAATCGCTGCGACCCCGTGGAAAACACCACAAAGGCGGATTCTTCTTTTTGTCTAAACCACGGGTTGGACTGGAATCAGCCAAGCAAATAATTTTGAAAAAAGGCAAAACACCTGGGCTGCCGCTAGATCCCTCGCTAAAAGTTAAACTATTAGTGGGTTAAATGTGGAAATCCCACCACTAAACACCGAAAAGCTAAGCTAAGGAACCGGATGGCTGGGAGCCACCCAGAAACGGATGAGTACCAGTCGGTGCATTGGCGCAGCTCCTTCTCAGGAAAACACAACAAGCTGCGCTGCCACGTCGCCAGGCGCCCTTCGGACCTCATCCAGCGCCTTTTTCAGGCCCCCAGCCGTGCTGCCTGCTACTCCTTTGTCTCCCTGCCGCAATCCATGAGCCGCTTGTGGCTGACACCGCTCCAGCGACGCTAGGCGGCGCAAGGGTGGCATTTCATGCTCATTCTCCTGCTCCACCTGCATCTATTGTTGGACATCTCATCTTTTCGGTGAGGTGTCTCAAAATGTAAACCCCCTTTTGGAGCAAAAAGCGAAACGAAAAGAACGCCAACCAAATCTACACCCATGGGCTGTAGAATTATTCTGATGCTCCAATAAGATCCCTTGCAATACTGGGTATAGATTCCTCTGAACATGTCGACCCCGAACGAATCAATCTGGTGGGCTATTAGAGGGAGTGCTTTCGTAGGGAACAATGACGAGTTGACCCACAAGGTGATGTTTTAACCAGCCCAAACAGGAACCTCTGGCTGGTTCGCATTGAATGTGGATCCGGAATCCTCCGCAATCCGTATTAAAACGCCGCGAGAAGACCAGGAACCCACTACCTGGCATAGGGAGTAGGGATTGAATTTCACCCAGATAAATTCCGACTGGCACCTTCGGCATCTTCCCACAGGCCCTGTGTGTGTGCGTGCCCCAAGTGAGACAGCAAAAATCCGCTTGCCCAAGGTCCACGAGGATGTGAAGCCTCAACTGACAAAATCCAACACAAGGCATCATTTTTTGAACGGCTTCACGATTTGGAATCTTTGGTGCATTGCTTCGCTTGTGTGTTCTCTTTCTTTAGATTTCCAGTCAGACCTCAAGAAATGCAACGGCGCGCTAGGATCCGCAAGGGTCCGTCGCGTTCTCAGGGTATCCTTTTCAGGTGAGTTTGAGGGGAAACCGAAGGAACAAAAACACAATTTTTCGGGATCCGCTTATTTTTAGATACGCCCAAAAAGGAAACGGCCATTTTGACCCCCCCCCCAGAAATAAACCGTAAACATGAAATAACATTCATAAAATAAACATAAAAATACCAATGCCCTGCCTGGCTCTGCAGCCGCAGCTGCGCTTCGCCCTTCGGGCAGGTAGAGAAGCCCCAAACATCGCATGCACCAGGGGATGTTTGCGAAAAAAAATGGGTGGGCACATGCGAGATTCAACATGGACCCAACACGTATCCTTTGTGCCCTCAAAGCTTCAACGGTGAATTGTACCTTCTCTCCCATGTCCCAATGTGACACTGGACATCTTGACCAAGACCTCAGATGGGTTGTTGTGTTCGGGAAGTGGAAAGGAAACCAAAAGAAAAGAACACAGGGGCACAAGTCCTGTTTCATTCTAGAACCAGTCCATATGAGTCTGAGTCTTTATAGGGGACCCTTTGGTGGACATCATGCAATATGGTTTCTTGGGATTCATGTCCACCGCTTGTGGATCGGTGGTTCCCTATGCAAACTCAAAGGATACCTTTGAGCAAATTCTCCGTGAGTTCCTGGTGCCCCATGTAAAACCAGCGGGATCGACCTCATCAGGAGATCGCTCACCCTCGCCCATTCTCAGGGAATTCTTGTCTTCAAAAAATGGACCAACCCTGGGAAGAGAATAAGGCATCCGCCCTGGGAAGAGCAAGCTCTGGGTGAAGGCAAGAAGATCGAGATTTCACTGATGCCAACGTGGACTCCGTGAAGGGGCTCAGGGTTGGCTTTAAGGGCTAGGTCCTCCAGTAGACAGGTTAGAAGAAGGGTATACCCTTTTTTTCTGTAGTTTCTTTTAGTAGGGGAGCCCTCCAAACCTCCACCAAAAAAGGGCAAAAGCGCACCACTGGGGAACCTAGCGGGGAAACCAAAAGGAGAAGCGCGCTCCATTTTCGGGGCGCCGCGGGAGGACTCGCGAGCCATTCAGTGCGCGCCTCGTCTGTGCGGGCGCGGCTTCGAAACCGCTCCACCTGAAGCGAATGGCTGTGGCTTCTTTTGGCAGGGGGTTTTGAAAGGGAAGCCAAAGTGATAATAATCTTTCTGATGTTCAAAACAAAGCCTTAGATTTGGAGTGATGTATGTTTGGCCTCCTTTTCAAATGTTCAAATCCCCTGCAAGAGGTTCCAGTTCTGATTTGTTCACATGTCACGAATCACCAGCCCTGTTTGCAAGTATATAGGTCGTTGTTTTGATCGTGGCACTTCTTGGCTACATCTCAACACTGGTCCACTGTTTCTTGCTTCGAGACGGATCTGTTTTACGCACACATGACCTGCTAAGAAATCAGTAGCCTTGCCAAAAAAAAGGTTGGCAAGCCATGGTTTTGCTTGCTGCTTGCCAAGAGACTGAAGACCTGAATGAAGAGGGGTTGCCAAAGAACCTAGATAGTAAGCTTGTTGTATCCCCAAATCGAAGAGCTCCCCAACATAAGCAAAGATATCCTAGGTTCAAATTGGCGCCGATACTGAACGGGTGTGCCTTTTGGATTTCCTTGAAACCACCTGAAAAGGGCACCCTGGAAATTCCTCGAAAAACCGACAAACAATCAACAACCACAAACAGACAATCGACAAACACAAACAAACAAACAAACAAACAAACAAACAAACAAACAAACAAACAAACATTCAAACAAACAAACAAACAAGCAAGCAAGCAAGCAAGCAAGCAAGCAAACAAACACACAAGCAAACAAACAAACAAAGAAACAAGCAAGCAAGCAAGCAAACAAACAAACAAGCAAACAAACAAACAAACAAACAAACAAACAAACAAACAAGCAAGCAAGCAAGCAAACAAACACACAAGCAAACAAACAAACAAACAAACAAACAAAAAAACAAACAAAGAAACAAGCAAGCAAACAAACAAACAAACAAACAAACAAGCAAACAAACAAACAAGCAACCAAACAAGCAAGCAAACAAAACAATTAACACAAACATGCAAGCAAGCAAGCAAACAAGCAGACACACACCCAAACGACTATCTTTGCAATCCTGGTTGATGGTCGCAAGGGCCCAAGACATTCAGCAAGTTGACAAGGTGCGTGGGAGTGCCGACCGTTCAGAGAAAGACCTGGATATCCCCCGTACTACCAGGGTTGGGGCTAGACACCCATTTTCATCGATGATAGCTCCGGTAGTACGGGGTATCCTAGATCAAGTTTCACTACACATAAACATGGAAGCCACTCAACCCGTCTGTTGACGTTGTTTTTTTTCCCAATCAAACCAGCAGTAAAGTGAAGCCTACCAAAATGACGCCCGTTGGGCGGTTTTCGCTGGAGTGTACCAAAGGTCAGGTTCCGCTCAGCTTTTGGCCTGCCTCCAGCTCTGTTGCCAGAGCGCGATTTTGGGCCTCGGATGGATGCCGGTGGGATGGATGACTTTTGGGGTGTCTAAACTTGGTTGCTTTCTGCTCCCCTGCTAAAGGTTTAATTTTTAGTGGTTTAATGGAAAACCCATTAGTTGGCAAAAAAGTTACAGTCCTAACATCCAAGCAAACTGCACCAAAGTAACAATGGGAGCCCAAAACGGGGAACCAAAAGGGTCGGCCTGGGGCAAGTGAGATGAAACTTGACTTGCGAACCCGAGCCAGGCGCGTCGCAAATGCAGATCCATCCCAACGCCATATCTTCTACTTCCTGTAAGGGCGTCAGTAGTGAGCAGCATTGATACAAGCACCAAAAACTGGACAACTTACATACATTGATACAGGCATGAGTCGAACTCTAAGTGGCGACTCCCCACGTTTGTTTGTGTGTGCTATGGACATGGGTCAGTTGCAGAGTCCCCTGGTTTGTGTGACGTATAGAGAATGCTGAAAATGTCCCTCCCCTAAAACAGATTACTGTGCATTCCAGAACAGGGACCCTGGAATCGTACTTTTCCATACTGTTCCTTCATGTGCTCACACACACACAGTGAAACCAAACCCAAGACCACAAACAAAACCCACTAACATTGACAAACAAAGCAGCAGCCAACAGCAAAACATGGACAAACAACAGTATCCGCCGAAACCCTTTGCTGAATTGTGTGTGTTCAGAAAAGGGTGCCTGAGCGCTGTTGTTTCTCGTGTTTTTGTTGTTTTTGGTCTTGGTGTAGTTGTTGTTTGTGTTTGTTTTGGGCTTTGGTGCGTTGTCTTTTGTTGGACTTTGGTTTTGGCGCATGTGATGGATTGGCCTGCTGGGCCTTTGAGACATATTGCATGATTGTAGTGTGGTTAGATTCATGTTTTCGCAAACCCTTTGTTTGCAACTGTGTGCTTCATTTGTATTCGAGCATAATATGATATATGCTTGCCCAGCTTTTCTGTGCATGATATGTCTGACAAAATGTACTTTATGCTTAGTGTATGCTCAACAAGGGGGTTTAGCCGTTGTGTAGCACATGTTCAGGATATGCCTAGCATAGTGGATGGTTCACAACATTGTTTGATATTTTGTGCCGACCACGTGTCTAGCATACACTGGCATGCCTAGCATATGCCTAGCATATGTTTAACATATGCCAAGCCGTTGTCTCCTAGAGTTCTATCATAGTTCCAACACGTGATGATCATATGTCCAGTACAGGTCCAGCATATCTCGGCCTTACACAAAGAGGAGGTGCGTCATGTCTCCAGGGTTCTGCTATCGTATGCCTGGCACATTGTGAGCAAACTTTAAAACATGTCTAGATAATACATGATCGTGTCTAGCATAATCCTTGCATGGTCCTGATAAATTTATGCAACATGCTTGGCACACGTCGAGCTAATGTTTGTGCAGGACATTGTAAACTCTGGTACATGCCCAGGATATGTCTAGCTGATGTTTCGCATCGGCCTAGCCTATTCCACCTTAGACGCCTTAAAACCATTTGTCCAGCATATGCGCAAGATGACCAAGCTCGTGCCGACCAACCAGAATTCGGCCAGCCCTTTCTTTGAACATGATCTAAAACCACGCTTGTTTTTTTCTAGAACCTTGTTTTGGGTTCCCTTTAAGACAGGCCGGAGGCTGGTTGTCTAAGCTCCATTTGCTTCTTCATTCTTCGCCCCTGGAAATAAACATAAAAAAATATGTCCAGTAGTGAAATCGATTCCCTTTCAAACCAAAAGGGGAAACTGAAAAATAGTCTTAAGCAAATGGATGTAGATAAAACAAAAGCCCGTACCCCCAGTGAACATCCCAATCCCCACTAGAATAGACTAAAATGGGTGGTGCACAGCCGACAAACGGCCCTGGGCCCCGCGCGCTCATGCCTTCCAAGCTTCCGCGGAGCATGTCCACTTCTGACGCCCCGGCCCTCCACGGCGAGGCGTCAACTTGTGAGTCAAACAAAGAATCACAACCTTCTAGAATCTTGCCAGGAATCAACTATCAATGTGTGTGTGTTTTTTTGAGGAACCCCCCCCAAAACAAATCGTGATGTTCCTTTTTTTCTAGGGGTACCTTCCATTTCCATTCCTTCCAGGGATCCTTCTTGATCTTTCTAGAAAACCTCCAGCATCCCGGGGAAGCCGGATCCGGTTTTTGAAAAGAACGATGGTTGAAAAGAATTGGGAATCCACCCCTAGCAACCTGGCATTGAAATGGTCCATCTACAAACCAGGCAAAAAGAACGCAGGCTGGCGGCACCTATGGTTGGGACCATCCCTTCGTCGTAACCTGCATCTACTCGGGCTTTGATTGCGGCTGGATTGGATTGCTTTTCCAATGCCACAGGTACACTCAGTGAAGCCGACAGAAAATCTTGCTTTTTGTTGTTCTGTGTCTGGGCTTTTGTGTTTTTGTCTGTGTGGGTGTGTTTCTGTGTTTATGCCAATGTTGTGTGTGTGTGTTGTGTGGTGGTTGTGTTCCGTGGTTTGTTTCGAGTGTGTGTGTGTGTGTGTGTGTTGGTAGTGTGTGTTCATGTGTGTTTGTATGGTTTGGTCTCTCTCTCTCTCTCTCTCTCTCTCTATCTGTGTTCTCATATGTGCTTGCACATATGTTTGCACGTGTGCGGGTTTGTTTGCTGATTGTTTATCTTTATGTGTGTGTGTGTGTGTATGTGTTTAGTCATCATTATGATGTTTTGCTGTATTTGATTGATCATTGATATTGTTTTATTGATTTAGTATCCATTTGCTGGATTTGGTTTATGTTTTCATCATTTGCAGATTTGGATGCTTGTATGTGTGTTTACATGTGTTTGTATGTTCGCTGGGATGTGTGATGGGATGTGTTTGCATGTGTGTGTATGTGCGTACTTGACCTTGTGTGTGTGTGCTTGCATGCATTTGTGTTGTGTGTGTATCAAACAAATCGTAGGATTGCCTAATGCTGGAACTGAAAACACAAGTGTCACAAGCATAGCCGATCCAAAACGTGGAACGTAAAACGTGCGTTCCGGAACGTACGTTCAGAACGTGGCCCCTGAAAAAAACGCATCCAGGATCCCTGGCTCCAAAATGCGCTTTTTGGGCCCGGGGAAAGGCATCCAAGCTTCCTGGTTTCAATTGCGTTCTTGGAGGTTTCAAAAATGCATCCAAGCTTCCCAGTCCCCTAAAAGTAATCAAAAGGGTTGCCTAAATGCGTTCTTTCGGGCTGCCAAAACGCATCCCTGAGGAGTGCCAATCCCTAACGGCCAAGAGAAGGGTTGCCTGTGACTCACAAGACAAGGAGACACACAACAGGCACAAAGGTACAGAGACGTAAAGGCACAGAACAAACCAACCAAACAAACACACATAACAACACACAACAAACAAATCAAAACAACACACAACAATCAAGCAGTGCAAAGCAACACAAACAAGAAAAACAAACAGACAGACAAGCAAACAAACAAACAAATTAAAGGTTTGCGATTCAAGCAAAGAGCTGCCGAAAAACATAAATGTAAGATCACCTGGGCCAACCTGTGTCTGTTCCAAAGGAGTTTGTCCCAAAATCGGGGAATGCTCAAAATGGCAATTGTTCCTTTTTGGTTTCCCTTTCAACCAACCCCAAACAGGGTACCCTCAAAAAAAGACACCCACGTTTCGTCGACATTGAGATACAAAAAACATTTCTGAGACCCCCGAAACTCGATACAAATCGTTCATATTCTTCACAGGTGAGGTGAGCAAAGAACTGTGATTTTTCGCAAGCACCCACTCAACATGAACAGAATGAACACCAAAAACAAAACGGGAAAAACAAACAAAACAACAACAAAACGCCAAGAAGGGTGAAGGCTGTCATAAATCATTCGATCCGGCACGAGGGTGGCTATCTGGATCTCCCAAACCAGTGGGCATGGGACAGCAAAAGCCTCCCGAAGACAGGACACCATAAAGCGGTCGGATACCACCGTGGGAAAAAAGGCACCTAGAATTTGGTAGTGAATTTGAAGAGGAATCCCCTCGAAAAGCGAGAACTACACTCTAGAGATCTGGGATTAAGGGTTGACTGCCACGCTCCCAGCCGCCTTTCGCCCTCGGATGCAAGCCGCAGCTTTAGGTCGTCGTTCTCCTGCTTTGGCCACGCCATGAAGTAGTATACTGCTTGATTTATAGATGGTGTGTCTTATCACTATCCGGAGACCCCCCCGTAATTCATCCACCAGGTTGATGTATCCAGGGTCATCTCTCAGAGTATAACCCAGGGAACTAACCCCAGTTAGATTTGTGATTACGACCTCGGTGCGAAATAATTACCAATAGTTTATGCCTGTCCCCCAGAACTCCATTCAAATGAGGTAGGCCCTTCTAGTACTCGTTTGGGTTGAAGATAAATGCCAACATGTCCAGTCTGACGCGACAGTTTTCTTGGTAAGAATGGCTGCAAACCTGAATATGTTTGAATTACATATGAGATCGTCTCTAAATAATTTCCCAGGAAATGGGTGGGCCACAATTGGGGGACCCATGTGCTAACAGATTGTTACTCACTTCGTCAGGATAGCTCGTTTCCCTCCGAAGTCCCGCTTAAAAACCACCTTCGAAAAAGGTGTTTCCAAATACTGTCGGCATACAAAGCGGCCGCCCTCAAAGTGCCTGTGCTTGCCTAGTAGCTGATTTTTGCTAGAATATGCTTTTTCAACCGTATTTGTTTAAAGCAAAACGGTTGCCAACAAAAGGGTTCCCTACACATAGGTTGAACTCTTTCCCCCACTTACTAACAGTCCTCATGCTCTTGGTAGAACAACCAAGTACATGATATGTTTGTCAACTTTGAGCCGGGGGCAGAGTCCTACATTCAGCCAGTTGTTGTGATTTGCTTAAGTGTTCTCAAATTCCTGTTGTTCCTGCTTCTTCATGTGCAAAATGTGTGTTTTGTTTAATCTAGTTCCCCCACTCTCCCGGTGTCCATGCTTCTTTGCACACCCTGAATGCTTTCTCAAGACTCCTCAGCGTGAACCAACGAGTAGAAATCAAACAAAGACAATGGAACAATTCAAAATTCACAACCTCAGGCCGCATGATGAAGTTTACTTTCACGTGAGTACCCCTCGTTGTTGGTTGCTGAATTATGAATGATTCACCGGGCTTGATGAATGGAACTCATATGTTGCCCAGAAGGGAATTCCCGCTTGAATGGGGCGCCCCCTACAAGACTCATTGGGCGGAAAGAAGCAACAACCAAACCACTGTACCAAGGACACGCCGAGTTTCGACCATCCAGGTGACCCTCATTTTTCAACGGTCAAGCAACACGGCCCCACAAAACACAAATCCTTAGCAATACAATGAAATTCCCAAAATGATCCCCTGTATTTTTGGTTGGGGTGTTGCCCTGAAACTCCTAGCTCAAGATCCAACAGACCTCAACGCCAGACTCACGCTCCAAACCCGAAGGCGAGTCGCTGATACCCTTCTTCTTTGGGTTTGAAAGGGGTGTCGCCGTGAACATTTCCGAACCACGAGGCACCACGAAACACCCAAAAGACCTCAACGCCAAACCTCGACCCTTGGTTGCTGTTGACTCCCCTGCAAAAAGTTTGTCACTTTTTGGGGGTTTAGTCCCCCCTTGATTTCAACCAAAAAGCTTCCAGTCCAAAGATCCGTTGCCCAATAGCAGTCAAGAACCACAAGGCACCTTTGAAGGACCTCCACGCCAAACCTCCACCGCCCCCCGCCCCCAGCGGCCCGACGGAACTACGGCCCCAGCCGCTCCTCCTCGAGGCGCTGGCTGCGGGCCTTCAGCGAGGCCAGCTCCGCTTGCAGCTGCCCGCACCGCGCCTCGAGGTGTCGTCTCGCTCGCTGAAGGCGCCGCAACCTTCTGGGGTTCCTATATGGCCGTGGGTCAAAACCAATGGCACCATTTTGGGTAGGCGCACCACCCATTTTAGCCTATTTGGTGGGGATTGGGATGTTCACTGGAGGTACGGGATTTTGACCCACGTCCATATGGCTGTGAGTCAGAAAAATGGTACCCAAAATGGAGCCGGGTAAATGGAACCATGGACTGACATCTGCGGTCCCCTGGTGGTTTAATTTTGACCCATGCCAATATGCTAGGGCCTCCAGATTTCACAAGATAGAATAAGTTGGTACCGTTTCTTTTTCTTCAGATTTGGTCTATTTTAGTAAGGGAATGCAACACCCCAAAAAAAAGGGTCAAACAGGGAACTACTTGGGGAGCTAGAATGGAGAGCGGCAGGCCAGAGGTGAAGGCGTTGTTTTTTCCTGTTTGCACGGCGATTCGTTGTTTTGCTTGGGATTGAACTTTCTAGGTCAGAATTGCGTGTCTTCAACCTCGAAATCTTGCGCTTTGTGGAACAATTGGCTTGTTTTATGCTGATTATGTCGCGCATGCTGTTCATGCAATGTTTAGCATCTTTTGCGCGCATCTGCGCTCTTTGGATTTTCACTCCTGCAGAACCGGATGGGAACATCCGGGCAACTGATCCGGTTTTGAGGAGCTGCGGAATCAGAAGCGGAAATTTCCCCGTCAGAAGTTGAGCAACTTACTGGTTTTCATTAAAACTGACTGCCTTTGGAGAAAGCCACAAAGGAAAATGGCTCGGAAACCCTGTTCTAATAGGGAACCGGACATAAATCCCGAAATGTCTCACGGGTCGATCAAAATTCATGCCCATATCTGAAATATAGGGATTCCATATTTCTGGGAAAATGGAACTAAGAACTCAAACAGAGTCCTCATTTACCAGGTGCGCGGTGCCGAATATAGGGTACACAAAACCCTCTACTAACAAAACCCTGCGTTTTAGCTTTCGCGAGGCTTCGTTAGGAGAGGCCTCAATAAACTCCTTTCATCAGGGCTTTTGGCGCTGCCCACTACTTTGTCTTTGAGTCCTTAACCAAATAAAACGTGGAACTAAGAACTCAAATAAACCATGGGTTGAGGAAGATCAGCTCACTTCCTGAGTCCTCATTTACCAAAATTACTTTTCTTTGAGTCCTTGGTAACGCGTGGATTCACATTTGGCCAACCGGTCTGGGGCATCCCACAGCCAGCTCGCTGGCCTGGCGTTTGGCGTCTGGCGAGTTCGACTCCGGGGGCCCAGAAAGGCGTCCGTTTTTGGGTGTGTCCACTTTTTGTTGAGCTGGTACCCCATGTTTTGGTGGATTCAACAGGAAGCACCACCATTTTGGAGGGGCTGATTCCTGAAAAATAACGCCGAGCCACCCGTTTGGGCCCTGTTTTTGAGGGTACCCTTTTCCAGGTTGGCTTGACAAGAAGGGGACCACCGTCAGTTTGGGGCTCTTCTTGACAAGGCCAACCGCGGCGAAAACAACCTTCCAAACAGAGGTCAGCTATTCCGAGACGAAGCCACTAGAGGTGGGAGGCGGGTGCCAGTGTTGTTTCCCTTGGAAACCATAGCTCAAGGTGCTACAGACAAATAACCTTGCTGGTGCTCAGCAGGGAATGTGGGAATGAACCCAGGAGTCCCCTTAAAGGAAACCACACAGGATGGTTTATAAGGGTCATTCCCTCCTTCCCTGCTGAGAACCAGCAAGTAACAGAACAAACTCCATCTGGAGGTGCAATGGAACACTTTGTCGTGGCCATTGCTTCCTTAGCGGGAACCCTTGTTGGGCAAGCCGAACACTTATATGAAAGGGAAAATGACCATCCACAAATGCCCTAATCATTGCTCTCAGGTACGGCATGAAGGCTTGTCCTAGCAAATTACATCCATGCCGCAACCCAACTCCCCTTGACAAATTGGCTTGTGTCGCTTGAACAAATGCCATCTTGGGGGGTTGTAGGATTGAAGGCCCTGCCTTTGTTGTTTTCTTTTGGGCGGGGGAGTCCGCCGAATTTGAGCCAACCGATTCGTGGCAGACCGCGTTCACCGCGCGCCTGCTTCAAGGAGCGCGGCACCGGCGAGCGAGCGCCTGGCGTGGCTTCCGTTCCCGGCCATTGCGCCAGATGCCTCACGCATTTCGTCTACGCTCAAAGGCCCTAGACGGGTAGGGGTCAAAATGAAACCGCCGGAAACCCGCAGGTTCCGGTCCTCCGCCTCCTTTTTTTTTCTCCAGGGCTCCATGTCGGCTGCCCAGTCTTTTGAACCACCGCCAAACGCAGCTGACTTTTGGTGGGTCAAGTGGAAACTGCCACTAAACCCAAAAACTAGCAACACCTGAGGGGGATGGCTGGGAACCACCAAGATTAGTCTACCCCACAAACGAATTTTGAAGGAGACCCCAGCTTCAATCAACTTTGGAAGGGAAACCAAGAGGAGGATTGCAGAACTGTGTTTAAAGCTGTGCAGGGCGCCCAGGCATTGTTCAAAAGAAACCCAGCAGTTCTTCCCTTTTGGCAGCCATTTGGGTTGACTCAGATTCAAGTCGCATAGAAAACATGCCGCTTGCACGGGGGCTGCGTGTCAAAGGCCTGAGCTGCGGCTTGCGTCACTGAAACGCCTCAGAAGCATGATACTTTGATTTAGTTGAAGATTGATGGCCCTGGACCAGGGCCGTCCATTTCCAAGCAAGCAACTCGAACAGGATGCCTATGCTCCGAAGTCTTAGAGGGCCTCAAGAGGCCCTGAGCCTGGGTCATTCTGCCTTCAAAGAACTCACAGCGTTTCAGCACAGTAGACATGTTGATCAAAGGGTCCTTTACATGGGATGACCATGGAGGATTGCGGGAAACCAGAAAAGAAAAACATGATATTTTCCACTGAATGGAAAACAACAAAAATGATATGTTGCACTTGGGAAAAGTTACGAATGGTCAAAACTGGGGGGGCCTTTAACGGAAAATTGATCAACCCCCGCATCCTTTTCTGCCATTTGACCTGGAAAAGAAAGAATCGGATGCGGCCCTTGCCCCAAGCTGTGCCTGACCCTTGGTTGACGTTGAAAGGGGAGCAAAAATTATATTTTAGCAGCCAAGTGGGGATTTCCCACTAAACCACAATAAGCAAACATGTAAAATGTTTCCCAACAACAACCGCGTACCTCCCTTCGGCCAAAGTCTGTGTTCAGCGGCTTCGTGGTGAAGCGAGCATTTCCAACACCCTGAGCCCCCAAATACCTGGGACCCTAGGCCAAGCAGAGAGATCAACAGGCAAGCCCTGCAGCCTTGGGCATTTGGAACAACCAACCCCTGGTCCAATTCCGCAAAAAACACCAAGCAAATATTGGCTGATTGAACAACCCCCTGGTTCAGTTCCTTAACTCGGTTACCAGCCTTTGGCAAAATGCACCAAAGTTAAGAACGAACAAAAAAAAAAAAATCTGCCATTTGGTGGCTGCCCTTCAACCGGTAGGCCTGCCCAACCTCTGGGTTCCCATCGAAAGCGAACATCCAACTCGGGCCCACGGCGATGGCGAAGTCGCCCTCGCAGAAAGCGGAGGAGCGAGAGAGAAGATCCGACGGATGGGAAGTGCCGTAGTCACAATCAAAACCGATCGGTACAAACATGGTGAAGCCAGAACCATGTAAAGAAATAGAAAGGCGGCCGCAACTATTTCCGGCTGAGACTGCCCCTTACTAACCTTCATCTGCCCGGGTTTTGATTGTGGCTCATATGCCGTAGTAATTGTTCAAAGCCACAGCTGTGGATGGTTGCGAAATTCATTTCGCAACACTTGGAAACCATGGTTGAAACTATAACGTTTGTTGGTATTCACAGGGGAAATCATCCTTCCAGGGTGTCCTTTTGGAAAAAAAAAAACAGGTCGATGGGTTTCCCGGGCAAATGGAATCAATCCAATCTAAACCGGTGGAACCCATCTAATTTCTAACCAAACTACCTAGAAATCCGACGCTAGGCGAGCGTGTAGATGGCAATCCGCAACTTGCTCTTCCTTTGGATTTGTTCTTTTAAAGCCGAAGGCTCTTGGGAGACCTTTTGGGGAGACCATTTTTGGGCCAGACCTTGGCGGGTGTCCACAACCCGGCAATTTTCAAGCGTTGTTGGTCTTTGAATGCCTAAACCGCGAGATTTGTCTAGGTCTCCGGGAGGGGGGGAGGGGTTTGGCAGTCAGCATCTACAGTCCCAGCATTGTTAGGGCTGTCTTGACGGTATGACTGTTGCTGTCCTTTTGCAGATGGCAATGGTGTTCCTTGGCTTGTTTGGGGTCTTGGCGGGGGCAAGTGATGATCTAAGAAACTCCTCAAATTGGAGAAATGTGTTTTTCTTTTGCGAAATCCCCACCTGTACAGGGCTGTCACTGCGAAACATCTCCAGCATTGTTGTGCTGTTTGAAGTCTATATTTCGGGTATTTGAAGGGGGCTGCTGTCATCATTGTCTTATTGTTAATTTTGGAAAACATCGAGAAACACTGGTTTCTTGCATGCTGCCCCGGCATTGCCTGAACAGCATTCCCTCCACCCCGCCATCCCTAGCCCTAGTGCTTGGTCAATGTTTTGCGTCCAGGGCGTCGGCGGATCGCGTGGCGATTTCAAATAACATCTATGGTCAAAGAGGCAAAGAGGGACCCGCCACCATTTTGTTTTTCATCAAAAAAAAAACAAAAACAAAAAAAACTAGCAGACTTTTTGGTCGCTCTTGGCCCCTGGGATTCAAGAGCCCAGGACAGGGGACTCGGCCCTTAGCCACAGGACTGAGGGCTTTGGCCTCCAGACACCTTTTAGGGTATGCCGGGCCCACCAACGCGGGTTTCAACCGCCGAGTTCTGTCCGATCGGGCCGCAGGGGCAAGGGATCTGCATGTGGCTTCGGCACAAAGTGGTCCCAAGGGATCTGGGCGAATCCAGCTTGAACATAAACCCTAAAAGGTGTCGGTGGGACGGCGCTCGTTACGGAGCTGGTGTTTCTACCGAGCGTTTTGCCCTGCAGGAAGCCTGTTGGAGCTAGTTCGGACCTGGGATCTGACACCTCCCAGTGGTAAAACCTGCTTAGGGCATGGAGTTTGCCCAGTTTCCATGGTAAAGCCTACTTAGAGGCGCAGGTCGGGTTACAGAATGGGAAACTGGGGGAATGGGTTCGCTGCCTGCAAATGTTGAAAGGACGTCTGACAGAACCAAAAGAATCCGACTCCCGTCATCCGAGGTCGACATAAGCCCAAAAGTCAAACACTTCAGGAACTCACTTCCCGAGTGGATTGGCATAAAAAAACAAGTCCAAACTTTTTGTGTGCCACTAGAATGGTCTTCCCAAAAAGTATAAAGAGCAGGAACTCCGGAAATGAGTGAACTGGGCAATCTGCCCCGCTCCCTTTTTTTCAGCAAAGACTGGCAGATGGAAACAATATTTGCTGTTGCGCGTCCTAGGTTGAAGCCAGGGGTAGTACCAAAACCATTCCCATGGCAAAACAATGAAGGATGTGGGTGGCCCTTCTTGATCGAGGACATAGACCCCTCTCAAAACGACTTCAAGTTGTCCTTTTGGTTTCCTTTAAAACCAGCTCAACAAAAAGACACACCCACGTCCCAGCAGCCAAGCTTCTCAACATCCTTCTTTCAGCTTCCCGGGCCTACTTCGACCACTAACACAGGGATCCTTACATTGTACACCGGAACATTGCCTTGTAAATGCTGGCTTCCCTTTACTTTGGTGGAAAAAACATGTTTCAAATGGTTGCAAAATGTATCTTTTAAGGAGCCTTGTAACAAAAGGTTCGACGATAGTTTCCACTACCCCACGCCACTACCCCCACTATACCCCGATAGAGTGGCTACATCGTCGTTGTATATCCCATCAACCCCCAAAAAATGGTTTCGGGGAGAGTATTGACAAGGGTTGCATCTTTCAGAAAAATGACCAGCTTCCAAGTGAGTTCCCCTAATTTGATCATAGACTACTGGATGTTGTTGACTGAACCTCACCTTCCCCTCCCGCTTGAGGCAGGTCAAGGGAAGGCTCTGCTATCCTGCATGTCCAATGTGTGTGGCTATCGTTGAGCCCAGTACTCACGGCCTGGTTGCTTGCACTAGCATTGGTCACGACCGCAATGGCTTACCCTTTCCACAGATGATCCCCTGAGCGAGTCAGCAAAGCAACCAAGCCACTCAAATCTGCCCTTTCAACATCACCTCACCAAACAGCACCGCAACTTGCTGGTGCGATAGGTAGGGAATGAGGGAATGAACCTGGGGGTCCCATTTTGACCTAGGTGCACCACCCATTTTAGGATTGGGTTTTTCACTGGAAATACGGGCTTTTGATTTTGACCCACGGCCACTTGGCCCAAAAGCTGACAAAGCTCACCCACCCAGGCCCGGCAAATGGCTGTGGCCCAAGAAACTGGTGCCACATTTTGGCTTTTATGGACACAAAGACCAACACCTGCGGTTGGCCCCAGCTCCAAAACACAATGAGCCGCTGGCCTGAGTGGCTCCAGCGTCTGCTCTGGCCTGGCGACATCCGGCTGCCAAGTTGGGATTTGAACGCAGAGAACATACCCCGAAGTGGACCTAAATCCACCCCATTTCAACCAACCGGAAATCAAGCCTTGTCAGAAGTAGGGGCCCTTTATGGTTTCCCCTTTGAAAGGCGGCACAAGGCACCTGGTCTCAAAAAGGGTGACGGTAAAAAGGGGCGGACTTTGGCAGAGAACACTTTCGCTGAAAGAAAAGCCTTGGCTGGAATTAGGAGCCCAGCAAAAATACATTTTTTGGCCTGGTTAGTGGAAAAGAAAGGGAACCCCAAAAAAGCAAAGAAAAAAACAGGGGCTAATTCTGGGGAAGAAGCGAGAAACTTGCTGGTGCTCAGTAGGGAATGACCCAGGGTCTGGGAATGAACCGGAAGGGAGGAAAAAACAAGGGATGGTTTACTTCGGGTTTGTCCATTGCAGAACCAGCAGCTGGCGCCTTTCGGGTAGTAGAACCTACTATTTTGGCGGCTTAGCTTACGCCGGTTCAGTTACAACCCCCGCCCCGACCCCCCAGTGGCAATGGCAAAAAACCAAGGGCACAGGGAACTCCGATTTCTGCTTGAGTTTAAAGGCAGCCCCCGTCCGGAAAAGGTGCAGCAGAAGGAGGGCTGCCGCGTCCAAATGCGCTGGCCCGCTCAAAACAGGTGTTTCAAGTCTGGTGGTTTTCCTTTTGGTTCCCCCGTTAAACTGAGCGAAAAATGCGATGATACCAAAAAGACGCACACCCACACGCACACGCGCACGCGCAGGCACATGCGAACGCACACGCGCATGCACACCCGCACGCGCACGCACACGCACACGCGCACGCGCACGCGCAGGCACACGCACACGCACACGCGCACGCACACCCACACCCACACCCACACCCACCCCCACCCCCACCCACCCACGCACCCACCCACCCACCCACCCGCCCGCCCGCACGCACGCACGCACCCACACACACTGAAGGATCGTTTGGAGAACAGTACCCATGTCCCGTAAGAGGATGAAGTTGAAGTTGGAAGTTAAACTTGAAAGCGCTGAGTGTTGCAGATCTGTCCTGCGTCGGGGGAGAAAGAAAAAAAGTGTCTACTGATGCCACCGAAGTCGCAAGGTAGTCGGGGTCCGCAAGGCAGCTGAACATTTTAGGGCCCCCTTCTTGAGGACCGAGATCACAGTGTTCGGAAAATCCGGATGGTCATGAATGCTCTGTAGAGAAACAACACCGTCAACACTACTTGCCGCACTGGGGCAACAGACAGCTTGCCAAGAACGAAAACACAATGCAGGTACAGGAGTTGGCAATGAGCTGCCGTGCAAAATCACCAGAAGAATTGGAACCTATGCTAGAATGGGTAGCGATGGAACCAATATTGCCAGCGATGAGAGCTTCAACCTGAGTTGATTTCCTCAGGTCATCATAGCTGCCATCATAGCCACCAGCAAATGGTAGTTCACTGTCCTCAGGAGCGATCCAGAAGCAGCGACGCCTGGAAGACATCATCTGCTTGAATATCCAATTGTAGTGGGAACCGCTTGCTGCGGTTGCCCAACTGGAGGAAGAAAACCATACCGGCCTCCCATGCCGGCTACTGCCTGATTCAATCTCTCAACTGCTTCAGCATCCGGCACTTGTGTGGCCGGACCCGTTAATTACACACCGCGGTGTCAAACTAAGGAGCCAGAGCTGAGACCACGCGCTGCAGCAATGCCAAATGTGGATCATGGAGTTGGAATATAAGAAAGTTACCTAGCTTTGCAATGGATGCAGTATAGCACAAGGAAATTTGATGAGCTTGATATGCAAGCAGACTCAGACGTACATGGTCAGCAGGCGTTTTTTCCTTGCGGCTCGGAAAACTGAGACAGGAAAAGTTATGGCAAATGCCTCTCACTCGAAAGGAAGTTCAATTCATTCGCTTGGAGGACGGTCTCACCGTCCGAGCTGATCTTAAAGTGCAAGCCTTCGAAGCTGATCTTAAAGTGCAAATCAGCCTTGAGCCAAAATGGCTACGGACACACACACAGACACAAACACACACACGCGCGCGCACACACGCACACAGGCACACAGGTGCACAGGTACACAGGTGGTACGCACGTACGCACGTACGCACGTACGCACGTACGCACGAACGCACGTATGCACGTACGCACGTATGCACGTACGCACGTACGCACGTACGCACGTACCCACGTACCCACGTACACACGTGCACACGTGCACACGTGCACACGTGCACACGTGCACAAGACACGCGTACACACCTACACACCTACACACGTACACTCGTACACTCGGTCACACGTACACACGCACACCAGCGCACACAGATTTGCGCAATAGCGGAGTGACTTGTATGAGAAAGGGGACTGTTTGATTTGGCTTCAATCCTTTGATTCCATAATATTTCCCGGACAAACAGCCACCCCATTTTTTTTGACACAAGCGGCAACGCTTGCCTTCCAAACTCAAGAGGAACTTTGGATTTGGCGCCTTCCACGCGAGAACCACTCTGAAGTCGCACAATTGTCCGCTGTGCAAGCTGGCACAGGTCCTCAAGCAGGGTTCCAACTGGATTTCCCCCTTTTACATTGCCCTCAAAGCAAGCTCAATTCACACTGGCAACCAACATCCACTCGAAATGCCCTTATGAAGTCATGAGGGCAATGGTCAACCCAAACCTAATGCGGGGATTCTACGTCCCTTGTGCTTTTCCCGGAATATATCTCGAGAAATCATCCCCGCGCCATATCGTACAGGGAAAAACCATGTTCACTCACCAACCGTGTGCTCAACGGTCAACAAGGTAATCCATCCAGAGAAGCTCACCAATGATTGAATTGATCTCAATTGGGAAGCCACTTCTTTTGATCGCCGGGTATATTATACTGGCGATCTCAGGTGAGCAGCATTAAACAATCATGGATCTTCTGGTTCTACGAATATGGCTATAAAGTTATAAAACAAAGGTTACATGGGCTTTACCATAACCCTAATTAAACCAGGAAAAAAACGAACCACCTACACACATGAACCCTTGTTGGACTCGGTGGGCGCTCGCGCCTTCCGAGCGCTTCCAGTTGAAGTGATAGCTCCCGCACCTCCCACTGCATGTTGCGCCCCAAAAGAAGAGATTGTTTGTTGAAAAAAACATAGTGAACAAATAGGCTTTAAACACAAATTACCCTTAGGAAGACCTCCATTCTCTATCTTTACGCCCCCTGGAATAAACAAAACATATCATCGGTAGTGATCGACTACCTCAAAAGCCATGGGATCATAAAACATACTCTTAAGAGAACGGACGTATACCTGGACCTTCCTGGATGCCCAAAATTTCCGCCTTTTCGCTACGAATTGCCTTTTGGGGCAATTGCGCGTAATTTTTGCCTACGGCCTTTTTTTCGAAAATTCCCGACAAACAGGCGAAAATTCCCGACCAACGGGCGAACATTCCCGACCCCGGCGCAAACAACAAACCGCTCCAGAGAGTACGACGGCAACCAGCGTCGGTCGATTTATTTTCACCGCACTGCCTCAAGTGGGTGGGATCGTACCTGTTGGTCGATCTGTTTCAATCTCTGGAGTCGGTGTGCGTGTCTCTCAGACACCACTGACTCGAAAGTAAAGTACAACAAATAAAAGGTAAGCAAATGCAAGTGCATGCAAACCCAAAATGTTGTACAGCAGAGTTTCGAAGAGGGAGTGGACGTTCTCCCGTCCTCTCACTCGATGCTATAAATGCAGACCGACAGGTACTGAGGGCATGCAGTGAAAACTGGTGAGGGTGGGTGGGAAAGAAAAATTTGGCTAATTCGCCAAAATGGCGAACGGAGCATGAATCAAGCAGTGTCATCCTGCAGGCACTCAAGGTTCGAATCTGAGTGTGATTCAAATGCCTTCCGCTATCGGTTGTTACTTTTAACACAAGTGTTAACCGCAACAACAAACCGCTCCAGAGAGTACGACGGCAACCAGCGTCGGTCGATTTATTTTCACCGCACTGCCTCAAGTGGGTGGGATCGTACCTGTTGGTCGATCTGTTTCAATCTCTGGAGTCGGTGTGCGTGTCTCTCAGACACCACTGACTCGAAAGTAAAGTACAACAAATAAAAGGTAAGCAAATGCAAGTGCATGCAAACCCAAAATGTTGTACAGCAGAGTTTCGAAGAGGGAGTGGACGTTCTCCCGTCGTAGGTCAACTCCCGTCGAAGGTGAAGCCGAAGGCGAACGACCTAGACAAAAGGCACGTTGAAGGCATCCTTACATCGATCAAGTCTCCTTACTGTGGACAAGATTCTCACGGGACGTGGAAGTCAAGTCGGGTTCAGGAGGAATGATTCCTGTGGAACTGTTGGAGTTCCTTTATGTCGTCAAATCCGACGGCATGGGCGAACTCAATATCGCCAATGATTTTGCACGTCCGTTTATGTAGAGCGTGCATGGGGGGTTCCAGAATCTGCCAGTGGTGCTTCGAGGCGAGAGACATGTCATGTCGACTGAAGGGGTCGGCTATATTAGCATGTGTGGGCACACGGGCAATATGCAACTGCAATTGCTGTCGGTTGTGCCATGTCCAATGTGCACCGAGCAGGCAGTTTAGTGGTTGGTGTTTCCCAACTCCCCGTCTGATGGCGTGTTTGGCCGCCTCGTTGTCGCACAACTGGAGGTATGTGTCAGTGATCCATGGTCGAAAGATCACAGGAGCGATCAACGCGGCCCATGCCTCGAGGAAATAAATGGCGTTGGTGCCAGTACTCACTTGTTGGAGTAAGTTAGGGGGTAGTGCGCCCGAGACCACGCGGGTCCTTTGTGCCTGTGGGCTGAACAGCACCGCTGCCCATCCGTTGTCGTGCGACCAATCGGGTGGCAGACAATCCCGATCCCCTGCGTCCTTGACACGCCAGACCGTCTCGCCCTGCCGGCAGAACGCGTCGGTGTATATGATTGAGAGGTCTCTGGGCCTGGTGGACAGTGGGACGCTGCGGGGTGAGCTATGTTGCAGGATATTCAGGAGGCACAGAATGGCAGCTCGAGTTGGTTTGTCGATCCGGTCGGAAGTGCTGTGTGCTTTGTGGTATAGGGCGGCTAACGCCGATCGCCCTACTCGACCGAACAGGTGTCCGGTGACAAAGTTGCACTTGCCGGCAGTGCGTCGGGCGGTGTCGTTCGACATACCTCCCTGTTCGAGACACTGAGACAGGGTGTGTGACAGTGTACGGACTCGGTCTGGGCACGGTCGAAGGGTTGCGTGTGTTGCCGACAGGTCGACATAAACCCCTTGTATTTTGTGAGAGGGCGCCGGTGGTTGTTCCTTGGATGTCTTCATGAAATCCAAGTAGTGAGTTGAGCTTGCTGAATGAGGAGAAGGAACTGGTCGCGATGTGACTGGGTTGTATGGCCCCGTAGTCGTCAACGTAGTGCAGGGCCGGTGTGAGTGTTAGTACGCGGGCGAGTGCTGTGAGTGCATCGCCGAAGCGGTTGTAGCCCCAGACGCTGGCAGCGGAGCCGAACAGGAGTACGTGGTGGTGCCAGAGAGTTGGGCCGTCGGGTGTGATGAGTAGCACGTATGCTACCTCCGGTTGTGCGAGGGGCAGTTGACGGTAGGCGCCGTCGTGGTCGTGTCCCCACACATGTAGCGGGTGTGTGTCGTCGTGATATTGTCTCGCACATTGGATGTAGTGGTCGGGTGTGTGATGGTATGGTTGATCGTGCATAGAGCACGTCTGGTTGTGGCCGCTGCGGCGCCAGTCTTCTCCTCTCCGGACTTTGGGTTTTCCGTCCGATCCGGTCTGTTGTATGCTGAATGCGACTGCCACAATGGGATCGCGATGTGGGATAGGAAGGAGCCGGCTGGTGTGGGGGAAAAGGTGTAGCGAGAGGTCCAATGAGTCGGTGCCTCGAAGGGGCCGGCCATACGTCCCTGGGCCACTTCCCCCGCGATTTCGGTGGCCATAAGAGTCCAGTGGTCGTCGATCTTGTGTTGTTGTAATTTGCGCTGGATGTAGGCTTTGTTGAATGACCTGAGTTCTGCAAGGTCACATGGGTCCAGGTATTTGTGGTCGTGGCGAATGTGCCAATTGACTCCGGGTCGCAGAGGCCCCAGGAGGTCGAAGCCTAGAGAGAGTTCCTCGTGCAGGAGTTGTGCCTGTGGGTAGTTAAGCAAATGTAGCAAGTGTGTCATGAGTGGTACCTGAGTGATCATCTTCGGTTGTCGATAGGCTCGCTGGCAGTGTGGGGGCAGCTGTTCGAACCATGCAATTGTATCCGTAGTCAGGTCATCGCGAAGGTCCGCGATGTCGCGTAACACGTTGTGCTGTAGTTGTGGCAGTTGTGGTATGGTCCTTTGCATTGCGATGGCCCACAAAATGTCGGGTCGCAGTGCTGGGGCTGTTGCAGCGAGGTCGCGTGGTGTTTGGCCCAGGTCAAGTGGTCCTGCCAGTCGTTCTGTGGCATATGTAGCGTTTCTGATGCTCTCGGAGGTGGTCCCCATGGTCGTGGGTTGTGAAGCCAGAGGTCGACCATCATTCCGAGGGATCCGCGACGTACCCGCTGCGTGGGCGGGGGAATCCCGAAGGCTGGCTGTAGTAGCAAAAGGAATAGGATCCACATGGCTGTGGGCACATGCCAGGAGTTCCCCAGCATGGTGTTCCTGGTCCGGTCGGTGTTGTGTGGTCCCGTCCAGCCGCGCGGGAATCCCATCATTGCTTCGCGGTGCTCGGGTGTTGCGACTTGCCAGTCGTGTCCGTGTTTCCGGACCAGGTATTTCTGTTGGTATTGCCACGGGGCGAATTGTTTGTGGTCGGCTTGCCACCGTTGCCATGTGTCGTCTGGTAGTTGTTGGCTGCGTGGTGGTGGGCGGCCTTCGTCCGTACTGGCCTGGGTGGTAAGGCAGTGGAAGAGTTGTCCGTGTGTTAGGACACTCGGCGGGTCGAAGTCCCGGATGTGACAGTCTGGTTGTAGTTCGGCTGCAATGGGATTGAAGAGCACCGGTGGGAACAGCTGAGTGTCGATGGAGAGTTGCCAAGGTGTATGCCTGCTCAATGTGGCAGGCAAGGATTCCCAATCGACCGAGGCCCACCAGATTCTGGGACGAGAGATGATTTGTCCGTCGGCCGCGTCGATCAGGACTGGGCGTAGGCCCATGGAGTGGGACAGCTGGTCGAAGTCGTCGCGTACCTCGGGGTGAGGCACGACATTCTCTAGCAGGGTGAGCGATTGATGTGGCCATCTGTTCTGAATGTCGTCGCGGATGGAGAGTGCGGTGTCGAAGAGGCTGCCCTGTGAGCCGGCCCGGCCCGGTTGGTGTTGTTTAATGTTGGAGTAGTCCTTGCACGGTGGGCCACCGGTGAAGAGGATAATGTGTCTCTCGTGATTGGGTATGTCCTGGATGATCGCAGCCAGTTGTTCGATGTCAAAATCTTCTACGGCGCCCATGTGCGTCGTGGGGAAGAGTGAATGAGGTAGCTGATTGCAGGACTGATCGGTTTCCCACCGGAAACAGTGGGAGACGTTGGCGCCCAGTTGGTGCAGGGCAAGTGACACTGTGCCGATCCCGTCGAAAACTGAGAGCAGGATAATGGGCGTGTGTTGTATGAGTTGTCTGGTAAGATGGAGGCAACGCGCCGGGTCGGCTCCAGGGGACTGGTCCCCTGGGCCGTGCTGTCCCTAACGCGCCTTGTTCTTCCCGTGGGATTTGGTGCCTTTCTTGCCTTTCCCGGACCCCTTCTTTCCTTTGGGTGTGTCGCCCTTGAACGAGGGTCCTGGGGTTGTAGGCATCGAGGGGATGGCGGGGTTGGCGAATTGGGTTGGTCCCCAGGTCGCGTATGGCTGGTTGTTGTATGGGTACGAAGTGGTCTGGTACCCTTTGTTGCCCCAGGTGTGCTTGCCTCTGCCCTTGGGTTGTCGATACTGGTTACTGTTGTTCTGTGGACGTCGGGTCTCTGTCCGTGGTTGTTTCTTGGCTGGTTGCGAAAGGATGTCGTTCATCGTGGTCGTGTCGGCCAGTAGTTCCTTGGTAGCTTTGCTGAAGGTGGCCCCCGACCGCATCTTCATGGCCAGTTGCCATGTGAAGGTTTCCCAGGAGTCTTTGACTTGGAGC